AAGTGATAGAGGTAATTTAAGTTTTCATACATTGGATTAATACTTTACTCTTTTGTGAGTTTTGCACTTTAAAAATTTTTTTTCAGTTCTTTTTATATATAAAAAAAAACATTAAATAGAATTTTTTTTTAAAATCAGAAAATCAGGATTTTGAAGTTTGGATTGACAAGGATAAATGGTTCTTTTAGTGTTTTCCATCAATCATAATTATATTTTTACATAGTTTTTAAGACCTGATTAACTTACCTAGAATAGGCTAGAACCATTTCTACTGTATCTAACTAACTCAGATTAGTATTGAATTTTAAATGGAAAATTTTTATGTAATCGGGAAAATGTTTAAATTTTTTCCTTTAAATATAGCCAATGATGCTTCCGAAAAGCCACCACATATTCTGCGTTCTCGTACATCTTCTGAAAATGAAAAATCTGCATCGGAGCGTAGGTCACTGGCCACTCGAAGTAATAGAGGTAATTTAAGTTTTCATATATTGCATTAATACTTTATCCTTTTGTGAGTTTTGCACTTTAAAAATGTTTTACAGTTCTTTTTAAATTAAAAACAAAAAACATTAAATTAAATTTTCATTAAATCAGAAAATACTGGATTTTGAAGCTTGGATTGACATTAATACTTTACCCTTTTGTGAGTTTTGCACTTTAAAAATGTTTTACAGTTTTTAAATTAAAAACAAAAAACATAAATTAAATTTTTATTAAATCAGAAAATTCTGGATTTTGAAGCTTGGATTGACTTGGATAAATTGTTTTTTTAGTGTTTTCCATATATCATAATTATATTGAATTTTAAATGGAAACTTTTTATGTAATCATGAAAATGTTTAAATTTTTTCCTTTAAATATAGGCAATGATGCTTCTGAAAAACCATCTCATATTCTGCGTTCTCGTACATCTTCTGAAAATGAAAAATCTGCATCACTGTCAAGGGCCAGTCGAAGTGATAGAGGTAATTTAAGTTTTCATATACCGTAAACCGGGGCGAGTCTACCCATTTTTTCAGTTTCTCAACTTTCAAGTGGTCAAACTTTTGTAAATATTAAAAAAAAGGCTTTTGATAGGTGTTTCGGAATCGCTATTTATCCCACTTTAAAGCTGTGAAATCAATTTTAGAAAATATTAACAGTTACGCTGTTACTATATATTTTTATAGAACTGCTGACAAATGTCTGGTATGGGGCGAGTCTACCCATTCTA